ACGTGGCGTCGTCCTACCCGCATTCAGGCTGACGTTTGAGGTGTATCTGGAGTCTGTCTCCCCCAGCCACTTGTTTCGCAAATCGTATATGATCTGTGGGCAGAAGGCAGCCAGTCGGCAGTGAGTACACAGTTTTTGCCCAAGGAAATCACGAAAACAGGCCAATTACACTTTAAGAAGGAAATATAGAGATATTTTATGAGGAATAAATGTTGTTAGTTGAATTCTAACAGGAAGCAGTGCCGGAGAACAAATAAATTTCAATATCCTCCGATTTAAACCGGCAATACCAAGAGCCTGCGGCTTAAGGGTTAGAGCGTTGGACTTCTAATCAACAGGTCGCGGGTTCAAGCCTTAGATGGTGCACCATGTCGGGCTGGGTATGGCTGACTAATCACAGCTAGTAAATTGACGGATTGTTTTCCCGAAAGAAATTTTAACAACGGAATTTTCAACCTTCTAGGTCGATACTTCATTTGGACAGTTTGTTTTACTTAAATAATAGGCAATGACCGTATGCAGTTGAAAAAGAGGCCAGGAAATGGTATGACTTCATTTAATTCCGCAAATCCTTTGGGTCGTTCAAACAGTTTGTAAGCCAGAAGTGGCCATTCCAGTCCCCCTGGTCTTTGTCGGTAATATTCTCCTGCCTATACCATTAGCCGCTTGGTGGCTGTTAGCGGAGCTCGAGAGTGAGCCCAAAGGCAGAACGGGACGAGTGAGTCCGGTTACCGACCGGTGAACGCCCTTGCACTAATGTGAATGCAAACTAATGATCGAGAGATGAGAATTAAACACCGTTAAGTCCGGATGAAGTAGCCATTAACTGCGGCGAGTCAAGATAGAACTGCAGTAAAGGTGCCATGGTCGTCGTAGGTCATGAGATAACTAAGTGCCATATTAACTAAACCAAAAGCATGCTAAGGAAGTTTAAGATTGGCCTTAATCTACTAGTAAGAGCATCAGAATTTATCTTTTACATAATGCTATATTTCTAATAAAAAATATAGTACTATAAAGTCGACGCAGGCAGGATTGGTCGCCTATTATTAGCATCGCCAAAAGCTATCCTATGGCTGCTATGACCTTAAGCATCTCAGTATCGATCACGAAAACAAAAAAGAGACAATAGGTCAAAAACAATAAGAGACAATGAGAACAGAAATGACTTTTGCAGGCTAGATGAGAATCCCGTCAGTAAAAAAAGGTTACAATGAAGGTGTAATCACAACCAGTTCAAATGAACTACCTCTCAGATATTGTTATTATTACGTCCACTAATGTGCCTTTTCTAAAATGAAGAGCTTAACAGTTCTATGGAGAGGTTGAGCGGAACATTATCCAGGATAACAAAGTTAAAAGGCAAAATCAAAATAGTGTTCGAGAGGGTAGATTTAACGGGTAATTCATTGCATTCGAAGAAACCGCAAGGAGTTTGGCACCTAAAAGGTAAACTGTAGTGCATTTATAAGACAAAGACATCACACCGAGGTTGCAAATCGTACCGTAAGAGGAAAATAGAAAGAGGCCAAAAAGTAATGGAAAAGGAGAATGGTATGGAAGTGAAGAATACCTTGACGCAGGTGGTACGGGTTTCGGGAGATGCAGCTGGTGCGATTGCAAGGTCAACCAGGCGAGGCAAAATATGCTTCAACAGATCAGGTCTCCTCGTTTCCACAAGATCTTCTAACTGGCTCATGTCTTCGATAATAGCCAGGGTTGTGAGAAGTGCTTGGTTTTCTAGGCTGCCCGGTTGATGAACGCCGGAAATGCTGGCTGAAATGATAAAACAGTTACTTTAAATCAAGGAAACAAACAAAATGTATATGATTACTCCATTAGCATAAAAACGAGGGACATGAAATGCAGGCACCAGTAGCACTAGGTGAACACCCGGTGGCTCAATGAAATCAGCTAGAACGTAAACTTCAACTTGTCAGCTTTCTAGGCGACAGAAGCCGCGACGACACTGCTTGGTCGTAACTTCGAATATGCAAAATACGGTCAGTCAAGGGAGTTACGCACGAACCAATAGGTTAAACAGTTTCCCAGCGCCGACTGATAGGCGCTACAATAGTTCGACTACTGCGAACGAGGATGTCCACCTTGTCCCGTAGCATGGAGGTCCAGAGACGGTGACCTGTGCGTGAAGCAGTTTATAGTGACAGAAAACTTGCACGGCATCTAGTGCATACCTCAGCTCCATGTCGAGACAGGGCCAAGAAGAACAGAGGCAGGATTGAACGCAATGGCTGACAGGGCCAAAGAGCCCGTCTGTGCGTACGACAAAAGCCTGACCTACGCACGATGGGCCAGACTTTTACAGAAGACAAGGGAAAGGCTCAGATTGCAGGTGGATAGAAATGCCATAGAGATCATTTGAAGAAAGATCTGAAGAGCACGCTTCCTACTTACATGGGAGGCGCCTTTTCCGTGTTCGTGATGAAGTATGCATTATCGGCTCATGTGTGATCTAGGGACTGGTGAAGAGGTGTGTGTAGATTTGGTCTGCGGTTTCTTACCGCAGGTTCGATTGGTCTCGAAAGCCAACGCTCTGAAATTTTACCAACTTATCTTGGTTAGAAGGCAACAAAAAGTTTGTCAACTGGACGTTCCATCAGGAAATACCCACCCTGTGTGGCAATGTTTCATCGGTTTCAAGGCGTCGGTCAAAAGAAGACTCTAGTATCAGTCGAAAACAAAGGTTACCTGCTTTCTTACGAACCGACAAAAGACTATTGGGAGATACATTTAAGTTCCACCGATGACTCACTCATTAATGCGAGGATACCAGCGACATACTTAGCGAGCATGTGTCACCCACTGACTCGCTAATAAGGTTGCCTTGGTGACGCCAACAAACAAGATAACCCAAGCATCCGTTACTGT